CAGCGCGGCCTCTATCCGTGACACGCTCGCAGATCGTGGCAGGAGTGGCACTTTCTCGACGCCACAGAGGGTGCGCAGAAGGTGGTCCCTCAGCGCGGCCTCTATCCGTGACACGCTCGCAGATCGTGGCAGGAGTGGCACTTTCTCGACACCACAAGAGGTGCGCAGAGGGTGGTCCCTCAACGCGGCCTCTATCCGTGACACGCTCGCAAATCGTGGCAGGAGTGGCACTTTCTCGACACCACAGGGGGTGCGCAGAGGGTGGTCCCTCAGCGCTGCCTCTATCCGTGACACGCTCGCATATCGTGGCAGGAGTGGCACTTTCTCGACACCACAGGGGGTGCGCAGAGGGTGGTCCCTCAGCGCGGCCTCTATCAGTGACACGCTCGCAGATTGTGGCAGGAGTGGCACTTTCTCGATACCACAGGGGGTGCGCAGAGGGTGGTCCCTCAGCGCGGCCTCTATCAGTGACACGCTCGCATATCGTGGCAGGAGTGGCACTTTCTCGACACCACAGAGGGTGCGCAGAGGGTGGTCCCTCAGCGCGGCCTCTATCCGTGACACGCTCGCATATCGTGGCGGGAGTGGCACTTTCTCGACACCACAGGGGGTGCGCAGAGGGTGGTCCCTCAGCGCGGCCGCTATGCACGACGGTCGTCCATGGCATAGCAGACGTGGCACTTTCTCGACGTCATAGGGGGTGCGCAGGGGGTGGTCCCTCACCGCGGCCGCTATGCACGACGGTCGTCCAGGGCATAGCAGGCGCGGCATTGTCTCGACACCATAGAGGCTGCGCAGGGGGTGGTCCCTCACCGCGGCCGCCATGCACGACGGTCGTCCAGGCACAGCAGGCGTGGCACTTTCCCGACACCATAGAGGGTGCGCAGGGGGTGGTCCCTCACCGCGGCCGCTGGCTGGCTCGAATCTGTCCTCGATGGAGGATAGAAGGCTAGGAAGAGAGAGGAGGTTCAAGCAATATGGCGTTGGATGACACAGAGGGGAACATTCGCGACGAGGGCTGAGAACGCAGAATTGCGCATACATTATACACTTACGCAAGCACATAATATTTAAATCAAGTATGTGGGGCTCCTCGGTAGCGTAATTTTTCCTCCCGCTACCATATGCATCTTTCATGTGGTCGGCTCTTACGCCCAGAATGAATTTTTACATTGGGTTTTCACAACTCGTTGTTCGATTAAACATCGCGGCGTTGTATACGAAAACGTATACAACGCAGCAGAATCACCCAGGTGGGTGGGTCACCCAGGGGTGGGTGGGTCACCCGAGTAGGTGGGTCACCCGAGTGGGTGGGTCACCACTGTGGGCCGGCGCAATGACGACTGTGTGTGTTTTTACATATGCACCGTTCATGTGGTCGGCTCCTACGCCCAGAAAATGAATTGTTACATTTGGTTTTCACAACTCGTTTTTCGAGTTGGAATCGCTGCGCTGTATACGGATACGGAAACGTATACAACGCAGCGAAATCACCCTGGTGGGTGGGTCACCCGGGTGGGTGGGTCACCCGAATGGGTGGGTCGCCCGAGTGGGTGGGTCACCATTGTGTGCCGACGCAGTGGCGACTGTGTGTTTTTTACTTATGCACCGTTCATGTGGTCGGCTCTTACACCCAGAGAATGAACTTTTACACGTGGTTTTCACAACTCGTTATTCGATTTAGAGCCGCGGCGCTGTATACGAAATTGTATACAAACCAGCGAAATCATCCAGGTAGGTGGGTCACCCAGGGGGTGGGTGGGTCACCCGAGTGATGGGTCACCCGGATGGGTGGGTCACAATTGTGTGCCGACGCAATGACGATTGCGTGTGTGTGTGTGTGTGTGTTTGTACATCTGCATGGTTCATGTGGTCGGCTCCTACACCCAGACACTGAATTTTTACATTGGGTTTTCACAACTCGTTTAGAATCGCGGCGCTGTATACGACAACGCATACAACGCAGCGAAATCACCCATGTGGGTGGATCACCCATGGGGTGGGTGGGTCACCCGAGTGGGTGGGTCAACCGGGTGGGTGGGTCACCAGTGCGTGCCGACGCATTGACGCTTGTGCATGTGATTTTACATATGCATTGTTCATGTGGTCGGCTCTTACACCCAGAGAATGATTTTTTAACATGTGGTTTTCACAACTCGTTTTTCGAGTTGGAATCGCGGCGCTGTCAACGAAAACGTGTACAACTCAGCGAATTCACCCATGTGGGTGGGTCACCCGGGTGGGTGGGTCACCCCGACTGGGTGGGTCACCCGAACGGGTGGGTCACCAGTGTGTGCGGCCGCAATGACGAGATTGTGTGTGTGTGTGTGTGTGTGTTTTACACATATGCACCGTTCATGTGGTCGGCTCTTACACCCAGAGAATGATTTTTTTGCATTGGGTTTTCACAATTCGTTTTTCGATTTGGAATCGCGGCGCTGTATACGACAACGCATACAACGCAGCGAGGTCACCCAGGCGGGTGGGTCACCCGGGTGGGTGGGTCATCCGAGTGGGTGGGTCACCCGAGTGGGTGGGTTACCATTGTGTGCCGACGCAATGACGTTTGTGTTTGTGTGTTTGTACATGTGCATGGTTCATGTGGTCGGCTTGTACACCCATTTTTGCGGGGGTTTTCAGAATTCGTTTTTCGATTTGGAATCGCGGTGCCGCATACGAAAACGTATACAACGCAGCGAAATCACCCAGGTGGGTGGGTCACTCGGGTGGGTGGGTCACCCGAGTGGGTGTGTCACCAGTGTGTGCCGGCGCAATGACGCTTGTGTGTGTGTTTTTACATATGCATGGTTCACGTGGTCGGCTCTTACACCCAGAGAATGAATTTTTATTTTTGGGTTTTCACAGTTCGTTTTTGGATTGAGAATCGCGGCGCTGTATACGAAAACGTATCCAACGCAGCGAGGTCACCCAGGCGGGTGGGTCACCCGGGTGGGTGGGTCACCCGGGTGGGTGGGTCACCCGAGTGGGCGGGTCACCAGTGTGTGCCGACGCAATGACGCTTGTGTGTTTCACATCTGCATGGTTCATGTGGTCGGCTCTTACACCCAGAGAATGAACTTTTCACGTGGTTTTCACAACTCGTCATTCGATTTAGAATCGCGGCGCTGTATACGAAAACATATAGCGCAGCGAAATCACCCAGTTGGGTTGGTCACCGGGGTGGATGGGTCACCCGGGTGGGTTGGTGGTCACCCGAGTGGGTGGGTCACCAGTGTGTGCCGACGCAAACGTTTGTCCAAACGTCCTTTGCGCATGCCCATGTCCCATAGGGCATCGCCCATGCCCATGCCCCATAGGGCGTCGCCCCATAGTTAACATGGGCTCTGGTGTGCGTTCTCTATTATGCGGCATGCAGAAAGCCCCTCGCGCGCGAACGCGCGCGGGTGACCATGGTGCTGCTGCTGCTGCTGCTTCGGCTCCTGCTCCTGCTCCTGCTCCTGCTCCTGCTCCTGCTGCTGCTCCTCCTCCTCCTCCTCCTCCCCCTCTTCCTCTGCAATTCACAAGCCCAGAGCCTACCTCCCTGTGCCTACTTACGACAGATGACCCATCGAGGCCCGAGTTTAAGACAAGGCTCTAAAGAACCCTGTCTATTTTTCCGTATTATGTAAGTCCGAGCTCCCTGGCGTAGCAGGTTCCGTTCTTACTTCTGTTTGTAGCCTAGTCATGCTTAATGGTATCCCCGAGGTGCCCTAGAAAGCCCCAAGCCCGAGAGGCTTCTTCTTTTTAAGTGTTTCACACGTTTCCCAAGACGTTTTCTCTGAGACCGTCAGGACTTCTGGCGCGCGCCTGAGAGGCGCAAGACTGTGAGCTGGCCCGCTACAGCCAAAGACAGCTCCCCTCTATCACCATCGCGCGCCCAGCGACGCGCTTCCCCACTGCCCCGCACATCCACTGCATCTATCAGGAAATCGAGGATATCAGTATTCAGAGCAATATGCGAGGATTCATCGGAGGGCAGTGGTTTGAGGCGGGACCATTGCATGGTTGCGGAACTTTCGAGCTCCACGGACGTACAACATGATGAAGAATTTCGATGACATCATTCCTAAGTGGAATGGAGACCTCACCACGGTGGACCACTACGAGAGAGAGATGTGAAGGCCTACGTTCGTGGGGCACGGCGAAACGAGCGCTATGTATGTGGCACGAGGCTCTGGCGAAAGCTAGAGGGGCGCTCTCGTTTAGCAGCCATGTGTATCGATTTGGACGAGCTCGATGCTGACAACGGCGCAGACTTCCTGCTCAGACATGTCAGGTCGAAGCTCGGGGCTCAACCGATTCAGGGCGCCGGGAAGTACCTGGCGATATGGATCTTCGACCTGCGCAGGGACGACGGAGAGCCGATGCCGAGCTACATCGGCCGTGGCGACGAAGCCTACCACGATGTAGTCAAGGGCTTCGACACAGAGTATGTCGAGCGCCAGGGGGTGGAGCGGTTGTGGGCCTGGGCGAAGGAGTGGATTTCTCTATATCAAGAGCTGAATTGGCTCCTCACAACAAGATAGCATACGAGGGCCCGGGCGCTGCCGCAGACGAGGCCAAGAGACTCAACGATTGGCCGTGTAACTTTATTGAGACTGGCCTCGAGGAGACGAGGAGATGCCAGAACATCCGGACTCTGGCGCGAACTTCCATCAGGCTATGCCGCTGGATCAACTACGCGGCTGGCTACTACTACAGCGCTCGCGGCTCGCGCCGACCGAGCGCGCAGCTGTCGTCGACGCCCTCAAGGGGACTTCGATTGTGAGAGTATCGGCGAGCAGCTACGAGTGTCGTGGCCAGATGACGAGCTGACGAACCGCGACAGAAAGGAAAAGTGGCATCGAGGCCGTCATCGAGACCGCGGACGCGTTCGCGCCGGATGGGGCCAAGACGAAGAAGAACCCGATGCTGAGGAGCATATCTACTACGAACAGTCCAAGACGTCGGTCGGCACCGAGAACGAGGGCGACGACAGCCCGGATGGGGCCGCTCTACAGCGCTGAGGAGATCGAGCAGGCAGAGCAGGCCGACGCCGCTCAGCAGCGCAGTTTTGAGGAAGCTCGAGATTTCTTTCGACGTGTGAAGAGAGCCCAGAAGTTCTACCCCGTGGATGAGGAGAAGGATAAATTTCACCGCGACAAGCCTTCGATGGGGGCGGCCGCCCACGTCGAGCCCGAGGCCAAACGGCATGACGCTCGACAAGGACAAGAGAACATCATCGAGGGACACGATGGTGAAGACAAGTCGCAAAGGACCCTGTGAAGTGTGGCGGCAATCACGAGACGAAGGATCGCAAGCCGAGGGGCCAGTGCCGTTCGCGATCGTGGGCCGAAGAAGGGCTTCTCCGCGTTCGTGTTCTACAACGTCCAGCGCGACGCCGAGATGGAGGTGGCGATGATCAAGCACGACAGGTCGCTGCGCGAGCTAGAGGGCGCGCTGGGCAAGCCAGAGATTCCGAGGTGCTGCGGCGAGAAGCGCCCGATGCCGGCCGCGCTGGAAGAGACGAGCGACTGGATGCTGATGGGCGTGCTGGAGAGCGCCCACAGGGGCTTCGGCATCCTGGGCATCGGCTCTACATCCCCCATCTTCGGTATCCAGGCTTCCGAGAGGCTGCGCGACCTGATCTACGACGCGACGGGCAATCGCATCAATATGGGCACCCCGCAGAATACGACGTTCATCTTCGGCGACGGCAACTCCAATGCCTGCGCTAGCAAGGCTACGTTCCCGCTGAACATTGCCGGTGTGGACGGCGACCTGGATATTCGTTTTATTTTTGGTTTCGGGCGATGCCCTTGTCTTTCCAATTTCGGCCTGGGCCGACCGCTTCAGGCGCCTCCATGAAAACGTTGTTTTTTTGTGTGCGCGCCAGCATTCTGTGTTTTCTAATCCACGGCGCGGGCGCGGTGGCCGAGGCCGCGACGCGATCTTTGTTTTATTTATGCGGGGCGCCCTTTTTTTTTCTGTTTGGGCGGGGGCCGCCCCCTGTTGGCCACGCAGGCCCTAGCTTTTTTTTGGGGGGGGGGCAGCCCTTTGTGTTTTTGGCCGTCGGCCCGAGCGGAGCCCCGCATAATTGGTTCGACGCTTATATTTTTTGGATGTGTTGGGCCAGCCCCATCCGTCTTTGTTGCGGTTCGCCCATTCCTGCGCGGAGATCACCGTCGGGCCAGTTGGGGGCTTTTTGGGACTACCATAAAATCTCTATGTTGATGCGCTCGGGGCGCGGGCTCCCTTTGTTTTTAATTTTCGCGGGCCTGCGCGAGCGCGGTCTCCTCTACTCTAACCATTATGTCCGTTCTGTTTCCGCTTGCCAGCTTCCCCGTGTTTGCACGGGCCCGTTCGCGCCCAGACTCTGGGGGTGTCTCAGGCGGTTTGCCTGCTTGGGTGCACAGACTTCTTTGCTGGTAGAGCAGATCGCGAGGATGTTTTAGGCGAGGCAGTGGTTTCCGCACTCCTAAAGGGGGGGGCCGCCAGGGTGCTCGCACGGGTCCCCTTCGCGCCCACTCCGGGGGTGTCCCAGGCGGTGTGCCTGCTTGGGTGCACAGACTGGTCTGCTCTTGGAGCAGATCGCGAGGATGTCTCAGGCGAGGCAGCGGTTTCAGCATTCCTCTAGGAGAGCCGCCAAGGACGGCTGCGCTCGATCGTTCGCGCCCAGATTGTGGGGGTGTCTCCGGTGGTTTGCCTGTTTGGGTGCCCGGACTCAGTTGCTTTCGGAGCAGACTGCCGGGCTGTCTCGAGTGAGTCGCTGGCATCAGCACCCCGAGGGGCCCAGGCGGTTTGCTCGTTGGCTGGCCAAGACCCGTTTGCTTTCATAGCAGACGGTGAGGACGTCTCGATCGGGGCGCGGCGCTGGTTTCAGGACCCTGCGGGGGAGCCGCCGGCGGCACGTTCGCGCCCAGATTGATGGGACGCCTCGAGCGGTTTGCCTGTCTGGTGGCTTGGGCTCTTCGGCGGTCGGAGCAGATTTTTGGGATGTCCCGAACGAGGCGCTGGTCATAGCATCCCAAGGGGGAGCCGCCAGGGATGGCAGCACTCGCCTGTTCGCGGCAAGATGGTGGGGTGTCTCGAGCGAGGCGCTCGTTCTGCACTTCGACTCCTGTCCATTCGGAGCCTTACGATCACCTCGAACATGAGGAGAAGGACGGCACTTAGGAAGGAGGAAGGATGACGGAGGAAGGCACGGAGGAGGACGCGAGTGGAAGGAGAAGAGAGGAAGGAGGAAGAGACGGGAGGGGTTACGACGAGGAGGGAGAGGAAGAACAGGGGGGAAGGCCGCCAGGAAGGAGGACTTTTGCCAGGGAGGAGAAATGAGGAGTGAGGACGGAGGAAGTAGGACGAGGAGGAGGAGGAGGAGGAGGAGGAGGAGGAGGAGGAGGAGGAGGAGGAGGAGGAGGAAGGAAGATCACGCAGGAGGACAGAGAATGATGGCCGCGAAGAGGAGGAGAAGAAGGAGGAGGAGGAGGAGGAGGAGGAGGAATAGGAGGAGGAATAGGAGAAGGAAGAGGAGGAGGGGTGACGGAGGAGGAGGAGGAAGGATGATGCTTCAGGCGGCGGGAAATGGGAGAGGGGAGGACGAGGAGGGAGGGGCTGCGGCTTCGAGCAAGGTCAAGGAGAGAGGGGCGGGGGCGCGCTCCCCGCCTGCCTGTCGGTGAGCTGTTGTCGAAGCTGTCCCTCGTCGTAGCCGCCGTCGTCGTAGTCGTCGTCGTCGTCGTCGTCGTCGTCGTCGTCGTCGTCGTCGTCGTCGTCGTATCCGTCGTCTACTCGGATTCATGCTCAAACCCAGACAGCGGGACGTGCCAGAAAACGAGATGCCGCGTCGAGCAGTTCCCTGGCGTCGGGCTTCAGGGGATGGGAGAGGTACGGACCTTCAGATCCAGGCGCTGCACTCTCTCCGTGCTGGGTGTCTTCGCCCAGTCGCCGGCCCACGGACACATCGATCCGGCTCGAAAGATGCCGCGCGATCAGGGTCCGGGGCTATGGTATTGTTTGTCATGGCGCTGCAGCTTTTTGCCCGACGTCGGACTTCACTGGATGGGGACCCTGCGCCTTTCTAGGGGGCCACATGCGAACCCTACCCCTACCCCCCACGATTTCTGAGGAGGAGGGTGGGGTTCACTTCGCTCGGGAGCTTTCCCGTCGTGGACAACGGTCGCAGCGCACGGTTTTGGGCCGTTCCAGGCCTCCCGGGAGGCCTTCTCTGGGCGCTGGGGCCGTGAAGCGACGGCTCGGCATGAGAAGCCGGTCCTCGGGAAGGGGGTCTCGGCTTCTGGGGGCCCACGATCATCGATCACGACGTCGAAGGTCCGCTGCGCGAGGGATGGATTCGGTTCGGCCATCCTCGAAAGGGGGGTCGTGCCCCCTCAGCCGGGGGAGTGCGCCTCTAAAAAGCGGCACAGTCCAGGACGCCCGCCATGCGGGCTCATTTTGCCCTAGGGACAGGAACCCCAGGGCAAAGAAACATGATTTTATAACGGGCCCAGACCCCGCGCGAACAGAGCGAAAGAAATCCCCCCCCCCGTCAAACTCAACCCTTAAACTGCCTGCCTTCCCCCCCTGCATCCTTGAAGCCGTCGGAGACGGCCGCAACTCAGTCGCAAGCTACACGCCGTCTGGAGCGTGGGCAAGACATCAGTCTCAGGTGGCCGCAAACACGGGCGAAGCTGCGCGCGGGCTGATGAGGAGGAAGGAGTGCAGCACCTCTCATCCAGGAGAGCCCGGCCGAACTTGTTCAGGAGAGGGGCTCGGAAGGTCAAGGGTGTCCGCGGTGTGCGCGTGCGTGTGCAAGGAGAAGGAGGAAGAGGAGGAGAAAGATGAGGAGGAGGAGAAAGAGGAGGAGGAGGAGGAGGAGGAGGAGGAGGAGGAGGAGGAGGAGGAGGAGGAGGAGGAGGAGCAAGTGGATGGGCAAGGATGTCCGCGCTGCGGTCGGCTCGGCTCCGTTGCCCCGCCTTTCGGGCCGCACTCGGTTGCTTCGGCTCGGTCGGCCGCTGCGCCGCGCGCCTTCCGGGCCGCTCTCGGTCCGTCGGTCTCGGCCTCGCCGCCGGTTCGGTTGGTGTTCGACTCCGGTGTCGGTTCGATTCGGGAGCGGCAAAGAGGGGGGTGATGACTAGGGGGGGGTGGATTTCATGGCGCGGGCCATGATTTTTCCTCAGATTTCATGGCGCCTCTTCTTATTTCATTACGTCCCTGGCCCCCCCGCTGGGCCGCGCACATGCCGCCGGTCATGATTTGCACCCCCCCCTCTTGGACACCCCCCTCTTTGCCGCTCCCGAATATTGGGCGAGGATGAGACGGGAGGGTCGGGAGCAAGAGGACGGAGGGGAAGGGTTCGTGGCTCGGTGCTGATTCCACCGAGTGCGCCTTCAGTGCGCTCTTCGTCACTGCGTGGGTTGGAGAGAGGTTCGGTTCTTGCTTCCCGCCCCCTACCCTCCAGGGCTGGCTTTTCTTGCTTCGTTTTTGGTGCTTGCTTCATTCTTTTGCATCGCAGCCGTGGGGCGCTTCCACGGGGGGGCGAGGGATGGGGGGGAGCGGGGTGGTGAGGGAGGGGAGGGAGGCGAGGGCACCGGTGGATCGGGTGCCTGGCGGCTCCCGGGCACCGCCCATGGAACCCCAGTTTCGTGCTCCGTCTCCTCCCTCCCTCCCTTGCCTGCCTCCCCCTCTTCCTCTTCCCCTTCCTCCCGCTTCTCCTTTTCCCCTCCCCCTCGTCACCTCTCCTTCTACCCCCCGCCCCCTCGCAAACACCGTTCCAGCACTTCGATGGCGCGGTCCTCCCCCATTGCGTTGTACATACAGGTCTGCCGCGTGGACGCTCGCAGCGCCACTCAGGCAGCAGCTGCGCAGAGTCCGTGCCCAAAGGCTGTGCATGGTCGTGTGGACGTCCAGGCGAAGAGCGAGGCGCGCGCACCGCAGTTCTGACCTCCTCAGAGCACGCCCGCACGTCCCTTCATCGCCATCCCCCCAGGCAGAGTTGAAGCTCCACACCCCGACTTCGAGCTCTTCGACCACGGCAAGCGACTCGGACACCTCGAGCAGCGCTCCCCCGTCCACTGACAGCACCCCGAATGTTGACGCCAGCGGAGCTGACGCAGCCACCGACGAGCGCTGCATTGACAACGTCCGACGTGCGACACACCAAGCATAATAGTTGTTGCGGTTCCCCCCGCTTGCACCCGAGGCAGACGACCCGCTGCAGCCACGCAGGTCAGAGTGAGCGCCGAGTGTTCCACGACCGCCTCGTAGCGCAATCTCACACGCCCTCCCCGCACAGGACCCTGGGGCAGAGAGGCGAGTTCAACGACAACACCCGTTGGGACGCACGGAGATACTAGTGCTGTATGTCCTCCTTGGAGGCGCGCGTCCGAACCGAACAGATAGCATACCCATCTTGTAGCATATCGTTTCCCGAGCGGCGTTGCCAGAAAGCGCCCGGCACGACGCATATACTATCAGATTTCTCGGTGCGCGCGCCGCCCTTGGGGGGGCGACGCACATACAGCATGAGTATATCGGGGTGGCGCCGAGCTATGTTTCCTTCGACCCCGCTGGCTCCATGGACGCCCCTCGAGCCAGGGTTCCAATGAGGACCGCTGCTATCGCGGCCAGACGGGCGCTCGTTCGCTCGTGGCCATTCCTTTGCCTCGTCCTTCCCCCCCTCCTCCCAGTGCTCCCCTTCCCCTTCCTCCCCTCACCTCCATCCTCCCGCCCTCTCCCGGGTTGGGGGGCATCACGGCCCCCCGCGTTTTTACGTTTTCAAGTTTCCTATCGTCAGGTGCTGTGCGAGGCCCTCTTGGGCCATGTCAAAGCGATTCCACATCTTCGAGACTTCCCTTCTCTTCTTTCTCTTCGGGAGAAGGAGAGCTTCTCCTGATCTCCTCTGGTCTCTGTCTCTTCGCCGCCAAACCCTTTCCTTCTACCCCCCCTCCTCCTCTCCCTTCTGCCCCGTGCCCCTGCTGCAGGGCGTGCCAGCCCTCGGCCCGTGCCGCAGGGGTTATTTCTGGGTCGCTCGGCTTTTCTCTCGGCAGCCTGCGGCTGCCGTGGCCGTCCAGGAGGGCCGAGGAGGCTGAAAAAGGGGAACAACAAGTGGCATAAGCGTAACATCTCGGCGGTCCGCGCGGATTTCTCGGATCAGCGCTGGACCCCCCTCCTGGCGCGCGGAGCGCGCCAGGGGCGGCGCCGGAGGCGCCGCCGGGGGGCCCCAGCGCCGATCCGAGAAATCCGCGCGGACCTCCGAGTCTTTATGTTTATGCCACTTTGTGTTCCCCTATGAAAGAGGTGCGTGGGGTGAGAGTGTGGGCGGTCCGCGCTGCCCGCTGCGCAGGACGACATGTTCTACGTCCTTCCGGAGGTGTCTCCCCCCTCTCCCTCTCCTGCCACGCTTCCCCATCCCCCTCTCCCTCTTCCCCTGTCCGTCCCTTCTCATCTCTCTTCTCTTCTCCTCCCCCTCCTCCCTCCTCCTACCTTCTCCTCCTACCTCCTCCTGTTTCTCCCTGCTCTTCCGCGCACGCATTTGCAGACAATGGCGCTTTTCGCGCTTCAACCCAGCCGCCTCCCCCCTCCCTCCTCGTTCCTCCTGCGCTCCCTTCTCCTTCCCTTCTTCCCTCTCCACTCCCTCCGTTCCCTCCGCCTCCCCCTCTGCTGCTGCGGCTCCCCCTGCCCCCTGATCTCTCATCCTTTGAATTGGCCAGACCCGTCTGCTGTTGGGTGCGTCATTTTGTGTGTGTATCTGTGCGTGTATATAGATATGTGTTAGCCAGCGTGGGCCTGAAACAGTGTTTTCTTGCAATCGATGCGGCGCAATGGAGGTAATGCAATCAATGTGGTGCAATCTGGCTGGTGCAATGCATCTTGTGCAAAGCAATGCACAGCAATGCACAGCAATGCAACGCAATGCAAAGCAGTGCAATGTTGTGCAAATCCATGCACAGACAATGCAACGCTATGCAAATAAACGCAACACACTGCAAAGCAGTGAAAAGCAAGGCAGAGCACTGCACAGCGATGCACAGCAATGCAATGCAATGGAATGCAATGCAGCGTAATGCAATCCTATGCAAAGCTATGCAAAGCAATGCAACGTCATGCCGAGCAATGCAAAACAACGCAACGCAACGCAAAGCAATGCAACGCAATGCAGAGCCATGCAATGCACTACAACGCAATGCAGTGCTATGCAATGCAATCCAAAACACTGCAAAGCAGTGTGAATCAGTGCATTGCAATGAATCGCAATGCAACACAATGCAACACAATGCAAGGCAATGTAGGCCAACTCAGAGCAATGCAACTCAATGTAAAGCAATGCAAAGCATTGCAATGCAGCGTTTCGCAGAACAGCACAACAGTGCACATCACTGCAACACGGTGCAGAGCAGTGGAGAGCAGCGCAAAGCTGTGCAGAGCAGTGCGATGCAGCACTGAGCATCCCAGTGCACAGCAATGTGATGCAACCAAAGCAACGCAAAGCAAAGCAAAGCAACGCAAAGCAACGCAAAGCAAAGCAACGCGAAGCAATCAGTGCGACTGCACTGCAGACGTTGCCGCAGCGGAAGGGTGCCGCGGGGCGGGCGGCGACGGGGCGGCGACGGCGACCACAGGGCGGTGGACCCGACAACGGAGCCCAGACGGCGGGCGGCGACGGGGCGGCGACGGGGCGGCGACGGCGACCACAGGGCGGTGGACCCGACAACGGAGCCCAGACGACGGGTGGCGACGGGGCGGCGACGGGGCGGCGACGGCGACCACAAAGCGGCTGACCCGACAACGGAGCCCAGACGGCGGGCGGCGACGGGGCGGCGACGGGGCGGCGACGGCGACCACAGGGCGGCTGACCCGACAACGGAGCCCAGACGACGGGTGGCGACGGGGCGGTGACGGGGCGGCGACGGCGACCGACGGGCGGCGACGGCGACGGCGACCACAGGGCGGCTGACCCGACAGACGGCGGGGCGAGGGCGGCGACGGGCGGCGACGGCGACCCGGTGGACCCGAACGGAGCCCAGACGACGGACGACGGGGCGGCGACGGCGACCACAGGCGGCTGACCCAACGGCCCAGACGACGGGTGCGACGGGGCGGCGACGGGGCGGCGACGCGACCCAAAGCGGTGGACCCGACAACGGAGGCCCGACGACGGGCGGCGACGGGGCGGCGACGGGCGGGCACAGGGGGACCCGACACGAGACGGGGACACGGGTGGCGACGGGGCGGCGACGGGGCGGCGACGGCGACCACAGGGCGGCTGACCCGACAACGGAGCCCAGACGACGGGTGGCGACGGGGCGGCGACGGGGCGGCGACGGCGACCACAAAGCGGTGGACCCGACAACGGAGCCCAGACGACGGGCGGCGACGGGGCGGCGACGGGGCGGCGACGGCGACCACAGGGCGGCTGACCCGACAACGGAGCCCAGACGACGGGGGGCGACGGGGCGGCGACGGGGCGGCGACGGCGACCACAAAGCGGTGGACCCGACAACGGAGCCCAGACGACGGGCGGCGACGGGGCGGCGACGGGGCGGCGACGGCGACCACAGGCGGCTGATACAACAGCGGCGACGGCGACCACGGGCGGTGGAGGACGACACGACGGGGCGGCGACGGCGACCACAGGGCGGCTGACCCGACAACGGAGCCCAGACGACGGGTGGCGACGGGGCGGCGACGGGGCGGCGACGGCGACCACAGGGCGGCTGGACCCGACAACGGAGCCCAGACGACGGGCGGCGACGGGGCGGCGACGGGGCGGCGACGGCGACCACAAGCGGTGGACCCGACAACGAGCCCAGACACGACGGGCGGCGACGGGGCGGCGACGGCGACCACGGCGACCGGGAGCCCGACGACGACGGGGCGGCGACGGCGGGGCGGCTGACGAAGGCGCGCGCTGACCCGACAGACGACGGGCGGCGACGGGGCGGCGACGACCACAGGGCGCTGACGGAGCCCAGACGACGGGGACGGCGACGGGGCGGCGACGGCGACCACAAAGCTGTGGACCCGACAACGGAGCCCAGACGGGCGGCGACGGGGCGGCGACGGGGCGGCGACGGGGCGGCGACGGCGACCACAAAGCGGTGGACCCACTGACACCCAGACGACGGTGCGACCCACTGACGGAGCCCAGACGACGGGCGGCGACGGGGCGGCGACGGGGCGGCGACGGCGACCACAAAGCGGTGGACCCGACAACGGAGCCCAGACGACGGGCGGCGACGGGGCGGCGACGGGGCGGCGACGGCGACCACAAAGCGACACACGACCACAAGACGACGGGCGGCGACGGGGCGGCGACGACGGGACCACAAAGCGGGTGGCGAACAAGACCCGCGGAGACGGGCGGCGACGGGGCGACGGGGCGGCGACGGCGACCACAAAGCGGTGGACCCCACTGACGGAGCCCAGACGACGGGCGACGGCGACGGGGCGGCGACGGCGACCACAAAGCGGGACCCCACTGACGGAGCCCAGACGACGGGCGGCGACGGGGCGGCGACGGGCGACGGCCACAAAGCGGCGGACCCCACTGACGGAGCCCAGACGACGGGCGGCGACGGGGCGGCGACGGGGCGGCGACGGCGACCACAAAGCGGTGGACCCCACTGACGGAGCCCAGACGACGGGCGGCGACGGGGCGGCGACGGGGCGGCGACGGCGACCACAAAGCGGTGGACCCCACTGACGGAGCCCAGACGACGGGCGGCGACGGGGCGGCGACGGGGCGGCGACGGCGACCACAAAGCGGTGGACCCCACTGACGGAGCCCAGACGACGGGTGGCGACGGGGCGGCGACGGGGCGGCGACGGCGACCACAAGGCGGACCCGACAACGGAGTGCAGGTCCTCAGAAAACAAGTTAGAATACCCAAGTGCAATCGCTGTTTGGGAAATCTGTGGCATGTTTGCTTTGGGGACCTACGACGTCGCCCTGCTACGGCACATCTCAGGGTGCGACCTCTCTTTGGACTTGCGTGGTCATAGGCTGCGTCGTCTCCTCATGTCCTCTTGCAAGCGTCCAGCTATTCCTGGAGGAGGTGGTCTTGTATGGACCTCCCCTTCGGCGCATCCTCGCCCTCGGCGGAAGCGGGCGGAAGACCAGCCGAAGCTCGGCGGAAGCAAGAAGCCGCGGAGGGTCCACCCTGCGGCAGGCAAGAGCGAGACCAGCGCACGCTCGGCGGAATGCGCCGGAAGCAAAAACGGTTCCCGGAGTCGGCCGCATCTCTCAGAGGCGACGATAGCTTGGCATCGCTCGGACGTGTGCATTTTTTCTCGGCGAGAACCATCGAGGACCATCCTGGACCATCGAGCAAACAAAAACACGCGCGAAACCGAAACGTACATGGGAAATGGACGTCCGAGCGACGGCAAGATAGGGGCGAATGGCCCAGGGGAGAGCAGTACATGTATCCAGGGGCGCCGATGATCCATGTCTTCGGCAAGGCTCCCGGGCGAATGCGTGTCTTGCTCTCTCCCCTCGGCAATTCGCCCCCCTCGTCCCCGGGGGGGCCCGCGCGCTGCCCTCGGCCCCGAGACGAGGAGAGGTGCCGCTGGGTCGGCGAGATCGATAGGGCGAGGGCGAACGCGCCTGGGCGAGAGCGGCCGAGCGAGCAGGACGAAGCCAGGACGACCCCGAATCTCTTCGGCATCGTCGCGGCAGAGGCAAGCTCCAGGGGGCCTTCCCGCAGTTTCCAGTTGCCCACCCAGTTCCAAGGTGGTGCGATCTGGTCTTCGGCCCCGGCTACCGAGAGACGGTCTCCTCCTCCTCCTCCTCCTCCTCCTCCTCCTCCTCTTCCTCCTCCTCCTCCTCCTCCTCCTCCTCCTGCTCCTCGCGTGTCGCAACCTGCCAGGGCCTTTTGGGCCGCTCTCAAGGCAGTGCGTATGGAGCTGTTGGGGACTCAGGGAGTCCAGTCTGTTGATCCTCCTCCTCCTGCTCCTCCTCCTCCGCCTCCTCCTCCCCCTCCTCCTCCTGCTCCTCCTCCTCCGCCCCCTTCCTCCCCCTCCTCCTCCTCCTGCTCCTCCTCCTCCTCCTCCTCCTCCTCCGCCTCCTTCTCCTCCTTCTCCTCCTCCTCCTCCTCTTCCTCCTCCTCCTCCTCCCCCCTTGCTTCCAAGATGGCAGCCTCCTCTTCGCACAGTGCAGTTGACATGGAGCAGGTCTCTCTCGGCCTCCGGGTGACTTCTGCGGCCTCCTCCGCCTCCAGGGTATGGGTTAGGCGATCGCATGTGGGCACAGAAGCTGCGGGACGAACCTGCGACGACAGTGGCCTAAAGGTGGCGTCGGTCTTGCCGATGCTTGTGCACAACCGTGCTGCACATGCGTGTGCGGCTTATATTGAAGAGAGATTTGGCCCATGGGAAGGAATTTTGACAGCATGCTCGTACGCAGCCTTGCCCACCCCTCTTCTCCCACCTTGTCCCTTTTTGACTCCTCCCATTTCTGCCTCCCTTGCTTCCCGCCCCTTTCCTCTGCTGCCTCTTGGTCTTCGCAAGGTGTACCGCGTGTCCCACGTGCACAGCCCGGAGGAGTGCTGCAGGCGAGAACCTCCTGGCAAATTGACGCGGACGTGCACGAGGGTGCGCGAGGGGTATCGGTGGGAAGAAGAGGGAGTCGAGCAACAAACAGTGGCGTACACATACTTTCTTGGAGCTTCGCGCGGACCTCATGTCGTTTTTGTTTCTCTAGGGTCGACGACACAGCACGGCCGGAGAGAGAGAGGAGGAGGAGAGAGAGAAACGGCGGAGACGACCGACGACCGCGACAGACAGCGACGGCGACGAACAACGACGGCAGCAAGGACAAGAAGGGGACAAGGGAGGAGGAGGGGAAAGGGAGGGAGGAGGGGAGGAAGGGAGGAAGAGGGAGAGAGAGGGTTCTGTAATGAATTTTGCGCCTCGTTGGCGCGGCTGCGACCCCAGCCTGGGCTTTCGAGGTCGAACGCCGCCGGTGGTCCAGATTCGGCCGTCATCGAAGGAGCTGCGCTGAGTATCGGGAAGCCGCGATCGGTCAGGGCTTGGCGGTCCACGCGGGGGAAGCCAACGCCCAGGTGGGTGTCAGGGGAGAGCAAGGGGAGGGGAGGGGCAGGCCGCGCTGGGGATGAGATTCCAGGCCTCCCATAGATGCTCCTACCTCCTCCTCCTCCTCCTCCTCCTCCTCCTCCTTCCTCACTCCACCTACCTCCTAGCTCTTCCTCCCTCCTTCTCCCTCTGCCTCCCCTCTTTCCTCCGCCTGTCATGGGCGTCTTCGGCCACTTCTGGGCCCCAGGAGGCCTCCAGAGGCTCCCGGGGGCCTCCCTGGGGGCCCCTGCAGACCTGCGGAGGTGTCCGCACCCCTGGCGCATTCAGGAGGGAAAGAAACACACAGACACAATTAATCGGCGATCCCCCAGAAAATATGGGAAAATATGGGAAGTGGGGGGGAAGACAGAAACCCAGAATATGAAAAAATATGGGGACTTATTTTATTTGTGTGTATTTATTTGTGTGTCCTTGGGCCCCTTCACGCATGTCGAAAGGCTTCTAGGATCAGTCCTCAGAGGTTACGGAGGGTGTAACAAGTAGTCTCTGCGAGACGATTCGCGTTCACCGCCCGCCCATTCCAGTCCTGACTGGAAATGGCGAAGACGGATCCAAGATGGGACGACTTCTTCAGCATCCCACAGATTTGTGGATGCGTGTTTTGTGCTTGTTCCTGCGTTCCTTTTTTTCTCTCTCCATCCCATCGCCGAATGGACTCAGGTATGCCGTGTGTGTGATCGACGCCCGCCATAGTCACCGACAGATCCATGACGTAGACGCTGGCTCTCTGGACCGTCGCTCCCGATGCGCAGCAGGAGGCCAGAACCAGTCAGAGCACAGCCCAAGTGAGCCCACGACGGCCCGCAGAGCGCCCACAGGCTGGGGCATCAAGAAGGGCTGGAACAGCCCTCGAACAGTGTTCCAACAGGGGGCCACGGTGGGGCCGAGATGGCCCAGGCGAGCTTCCAGGCGGGCCCCGCGCGAGCATCCCCGCGTGGGTCCCGACACCCGCCCGCACATCCGTGAGGCGGGGCCGACAGCGGGCCGGTCCAGGCCGCGACGGGGCTGGAGCCCTCCCGCGCCCAGGGAGGGAGACGATTGTGAGGGCAACGAGGCTGATTTTTCTGGATGCAGCTCTCGGGGACTTGGGCCTCTCCACTAGTCAGGGGGCCGCATGCGAGCCCTACCCCTACCCCCCACGATTTCTGGGGGGGAGGGTGGGGTTCGCTTCGTTTGGGCGCTCCCGAGCGAAGTGGAACCCCCCCTCCCCCTCAGAAAGCGTGGGGGCTAGGGGTAGGGTTCGCATGTGGCCCCCTTAACTACTCCCGCAACCGTCAGCAGAACGACTGGGGATGGAAAGCTGTTGCTGGGGGAAAGGCCTGGGGCCCAGCACCAGTTTTCTCTCAGGACTTGCTCCCTCACCCTCAGATCCGACCTGGCGGAAAAGTTGCACATCACGAGAAGTCGCGACAGGAGCCCTGGACCCCATCTTTCTGCGGCATTTTCCGAGCCGGATCGATCTGTGATGGTTCCGGGGCGAACACGCCAGGCGCGCACAATTTGCAACTCCCTGATCTGGAGCAGTTTCTTTGGGTGGAGGGCAAAGGGTGAAATCTGAAATTCCTTTTCGATCAATTTTCGAGGGAATCTGCAGAAGGTGAATCACAAGACGGATTGATTTTCGAGGCGCAAAAGCCCATATGGATTTCACCCTGTTCCCTCCACCCTAAGAAATGCTCAGTGATCTCGGGACCCGCCCCGCGCAGGAAGTGCCAGACGTTCCCCCACGGCACCTGCCTGGCCTGGACGTGGGGCCGGGACTGCGCGGGCGACTGCAACCGCACTTGCGTCCTCAAAGGACCCTGCCTCCGTGGGGGGCGCGCCTCTTCTGGTGGGCCTGTTTCCCACCACCACCATCACCATAAGCTGGGAGGGGGGAAGGAGGTGGAGGACGAAGGTGGAGGACGAGGAGGACGAGGACGAAGCGGACGAGGACGAAGAGGACGAAGAGGAGGAGGAGGAGGAGGAGGAGGAGAAGGAGGAGGAGGAGGACCCCCTTCCCCTCCAACTTATGGTGGTGGTGGTAGTGAAAAACAGGCCCATCATTTTTTGCGGCCCCGTTTGGCCTAGGGGATGCGGAAGAAACGCACGGGGAATGAGGGACGAAACGCACGAGGACGCGAAACAAAAAACACCCTGGGATTCGGGCAAAAGCGCACACAGGGATGCGGACAACAATCACACGTGTCTTCTTTGTTCCGCATCCCCCTGCTCCGCATCCCCGTCTGTCCTTCCCTCTGCTCCGCCTCTCCCCGTCCGTTGGCCCCAACCATCTTCCGGCGCGCCCCGCCTCTGGCCCGACCTGCGCCTGACCGCTTTCGCGCCTCTGCGCCCGCGGACTTACAGCGCTCTGCATCCCCTCGACTGCGCGGGCGACTGCCCCTCGACTGCGAGTGTCTTTGCCGCAGCCCCTCGACTTGCGCGGGCGGCTGCCACCGCACCGGCGTCCGCAGTGTGTCTTCTGCCTCCGTGGGGGTCGCGCCCCCTGCCCACCCCGCGCGGCCCCCAGGGGCCCTGTCCCCCCAGAGGCTGCTGGCGCCGGGCGTGAACGCGCTCGAGGCGCGCCTCTCCCGCCCCAGGGGAGGAAAAGGTGCGGATACCGCAAGTCTTCCCTCGTGCTCGCCGTTTCTGGGCCTCCTGGGGGGCCCCCGTCGCCACCGCTGGACTCGCCTTGATGTTCTGGTCAGAAGGCGTCCGTGGAGCAGCGGTATGGGTACCTTTTGGTCTCCCCGCCGCCCCTCCCAGATCTCCGACGAGATGTTTCCTCCAGTCCTGGCGGCTTTCCTGCGATTTCGGTCCTCGGAGACCGCGTTCGGGCCCCAGGGCCATCGAACCGTGAGCCGGGACGGAACACTGCACCAGGGGCCGAGGATGGGAAAAAACAGATTGGCGGACGTCCGGGAGCGCGTCTCCCCCCTCTCAGCTGCGCGCAGAGGGGGGTGGGGGGAGGGGGGAGGGCTTCTTGGAAGCACCCCTGCTCCTCAGAAGGCGCGGGCCTTCTCTATAGATGTCAGGCCGGTGCCTTCTGAGGAGCAGCCTCCTTCTGAGACGCCTGCCCCCTCCTCCCGCCCCTCGTGTGCGCGCCGCCAGCCCTCAAAGGCACGGCCCTGTAATTTATAGGGCCTTCTTATAAGGCGCGGCCCTTCTACTCATGAACCTCTTACGCCTGCTTCTTTATGTAAGGCCGCGCCTAAATCCATCGGGTCCATCTGTGCAAACCGGTGCGCGAGGTGCTGCTCCTCGCCCCGGCTGCTGCTGCCGGCTGCGCCGCGTGCTCCGTTTCTCCCGGTCGGGTCTCCTCCTTTCACCTGGCATCGCTCGGACGTGTGCACTTTTTCTCGGCGAGGGCCATCGAGGTGCATCCTTGATCATTTGGCGACAAAATGCCACGCACGAAACCGAACAAAAGCACGGGGAATGGACGTCCGAGCGCTGCCCAGTGAAGTGCCCCCTCTTCGTCTGACCTGACGTTCGATGTCCTGCGCGTGTGTGGTCTGCCACGCACCGCAGAGTCTGGGCGCTGTGGCCCAGGCACTGTCCGCGTTGGTGGTCGTTCGGTGGTTCCTTTGTCCGTCCCCACTGCCCCGTCCTCCTTGCGTTGCCCATCCTCCTGCTGTTCTGCCTCCACGTTGCCCTCCGTCCCCCTGCCGTCCCCGCCTCTCCCTGCCGGTGATCCGTTCGCCCCTCGTCATGGAAAGCGCATCTGGGCTTCGCACCTGGGAAGAGTGTGAGTACATATTTTCCTCGCGGAGTCGTCTGCTGCTCCTTACTGCACATTTGGTCCTGCGCCTTCGTGCCGGCAATGATGCTCTCGTGTCGGTCTGGCTCACATTCTGGAGTGCATTCGGTCTGCCCAGTTGTTGAAGTCGTACTCTCGCCTCCGTCCCAGTTGCATTATGGGGGCCTGTGGCAATTAGCGGCAATATCTTTTTGTAGCCAGCTTGTCTCATTAGTTCGCAAGGCAAGCTTGAGCATACGTTACCCAACAACATTCCGATACGGTGAGTGTGACTTCATTTTTTTTTTTTTTGGGGGGGGGGGGGGGGGGGGCAGGATGTCTTGGTGTGTGAGCTATTGCTATACGGTAGCACCTGGAAGGAGGGTGCTATGATAGCACGAGCTATCCGAGCGTTGGCCGTTGTGGTGGCGGCGGTGAGAGTAGTGCTTGGCTGCATTACAGCCGCCGTTGGTGCCGATGCGCTGGTGTCGACGACGCCACCGCCGCCGGCGCTGTTGCCGCTGGTCGTGCCAGGGGCTCCGAACTACGTGGACGATCACATCGCCAAGGTTAAGCAGCGGGGCGTGGTGTCCTCGCACTTCCAGCCGAAGCCCGGCGAGGCCGGACGCAGACAGGGCAGGGGTCCCGGAGGGGGGGGGAGGGGAGAGCGTGGAGGGAGCTAACTCCTCACAGGGCCCTCTTGAAGGCGCAGCCAGTCCACAGGATGCTCCCAAGAAAGATGGCCCCAAGACGGCCGAACGAGGCCCCTTTCCAGTGCGGTGCTGGCATTCCACAGAACACGCCGCCCTTCCCTCGGAAGCAACGTGTGATGGTGTGTGCCGATGCACGCGTGCCAGACCCACGTTGTGTCTCCTCCGCCTCCTTCTCCTCCTCCTCCTCCTTCTCCTCTTTCTCCTCCTCCTCCTCCTGCCCCCCTCCTCCTCCTCCTCCTCCTCCTCCTTCTTCTCCCCCTCCTCCTCCTGCTGCTCTCCCCCTCCTCCTCCCACTCCGCTCCTCCTCCTCCTCCTCCTCCTCCTCCTCCTCCTCCTCCTCCTCCTCCTCCTCCTCCTCCTCCTCCTCCTCCTCCTCCTCCTCCTCCCCCTCCCCCCCCCTCCCCCCCTCCGTCGAGGGGAGATGGGAGAAGAGGGTGCCCACGGTTCGGCTGCTTCGGCTGTTGCGCAGCCAGCCGTACTCGGTTCGGTTCGGTTCGGTCGGTGGCTGTGCCGCTGTGTCGTCCTTGGCGTCAGCTTTCGGTCCCGTCGGCTTCGATCGGCTTCGGTTCCGCTATCGGTTCGGTCAGTTTTCGATTTTTGTCCCTTCGGTCTGACGGATGATCAGTGGTGGTGGGGGTCGTCGTCGTCCTCGTTCTTCGGTTATCGTTGCCTCTGAGGAGCTGCCAACGGCAGATTTGGAGGGTGGGTGGGTGGGATTGGGCAAGGGGGGGTTACGAAATTTGCTGCATGCAGCGAACCTCGGCTCCGCCGCCGGGCGTCTTCCTCGATACGTGGGCGCCTCTGGCGCCAGGAGGCGTCGGGGAAACCAGCTACGTGGGCTGTGCTTCGCTAGCCTTGTGATGGAAGACACCAGCTAGAGAGGTCCTTAACTACAACATCCCGAGATCACACCAAACTAGCGCACACATGGTTTGATCATATATGACACAATAGCCTATGGCGCGCAGGACAGGGGCCTCAATGATAGGTGAGTGCGCAGAAAGTCATTTGCCCCCCCCCACACCCCATCGGCCCGTATAAATTTCCAAGTGCCCTGCGCAGATCACACACCCTGTGGTCGTTCGTATTTGTGTTCATTCGAGTAGCTGTTCGCCCAGCCCTAAGGACCCGCTGATGTCAAACAACAAACGCATATGTGTACGCGTGCCGATGTTTGCACATCCGTGCTTAGTGGCGCGCACCAGTTAGCAACTCACAACGACTGCAGCACTTTAGGGTCCTACTACATGGGGGGTGGGCGCCAGTAGATGCGCGCGCTGTTTACGCACCTATTTCGTCGAGCCGCCCTCACACAACAGCTCGCAACCCAACGTTGTCAGATCACATCGGTGGTTTTCGCGTGCAAGTTGGAGCGGTTCTCTCCATTCCAGCCCCCGCGTTTGTACATGTGCGCGTTCACTCATTCAACGCGCTGCTTAAACTTACCGTGGTCACGCGCCCACGCCTGAACTGCCGCGTCCCGTCCCACGTTGGGTTAATTCGGTCAAGGGGTTTGTAGGGTGACGGCATCGTCGTTTGCGTGATAGGGCGGGTGGTGCGACATGCGAATTGTCAACGTTGATGGATCCGACTTAGGACAACAAGGAGGAGGGGGCGGATGCCTTATTTTCTTTGTTGGGGGAGGGGGGGGGGGCAATGCCAGTAGCAAAGGAAGAAGGAGGAGAAGCGGGAGACGAAAAGACGGAACATGAGGATATGGCGGAGGAGGGCGGGGATGAACACATGAAAAACGATTAGGAAGAACAGGAGGAGGGACGCATAACACAGCGCCCGCCCAACGCAGATGCATCTGCGATGCGTCGCCGACAGGTCCCCAATTGCACGAGAGGGATCCCCCAAACGAAACGATGTGTCGACGGTCGAATTTGCAACGGATGGGCCATTGTCTAGCCAATGCCGTTCTCCACATGGCCACTCGCGCTTGGTCCCCCGTCACTGATCCATGCGGCCCTTGGCTCTCCGATTTCGCCGCCTTCCCTCCCCTCACCAGCCTCGAACGTATCCCTATCCCTAAGATTGACACGCTAAATGGAGATGACAATCTTAGGGACACACCCTCAGAAACCGAGGAAATCCCTAAGATCGCCATCGTGATGAGGCGATGCCCAGCATAGGGATAGGGATATGCTCCAGGCTGGTAATCCCCACCCGTCCCTTTTTATCCCCCGTTGCCGTTTCGCCTCGGCAGCGGGCTCCACGGGGTGGGGCTCCACGTGCGCCCCTGGGGGGGGGCAGCGGGGTCGGGCGGCGCCCCGACGGACGAGGGGGCCGCCGCCGCGCCCTCCCGGGGGGCAGAGCTGCCTCCGCGGCGGAGCCGCGGAGCCCTGCCCTCGACGACGGCAGCTCCGCGGGGTCGGCAGCGCGGGCGGCAGGCGCCCCCGGAATGCCCCCCTCGTCTCGGCCGTGGTCGCCCGCCGTCGTTGGCGAGTGCACCTGGCGAGGGCGCAGCGCAGCCAGACTGTCCCAGAACCCGAGGTCCGAGGGCGAGATCTTGGTGTCGCGTCGCCGCGCCCAGTGTGCCACCAGATCGTGTTCTCCCATCGTGATTTATGTGTACCTGTCTCTGCTATTGGTACTTGTCTCGGCAGCCCTCTGTCTTCTCATTTGGTTGATTGTGCTTTCAACGGCTCGCTTCCAGGTTCAGCTTTGAATCAGGTTGTCTTGAGTCTAGATAAGCATTGGGTGACGTACCAAGAAGGGTTTACGATGTCCTGGCGCGAGTTGGAAATTTAGCTGGGATCCGTGCGGCAGGTCATCCAGCCGATGCTTCATAAGCTAACGGATGCCCTCATTCAGATGCAAGGCATTTCTAGATTTAGGATTGAAGCGAATATTGTGTCTCGGCTTGTGGAGGACAACTGTTTCCTATTTGTGGGCTCGGTGCGGCGCGATGCAACGCTTCTCAGATTGAATTTGAAATCTGATTCGGTGCCCAGAGCGATTGGTATTACTAAATATGTTGTTGGCACAGCTCCTTATGAGGCAGCTGCGCAAACAATACTGCTTCTCTTGAAGCATGAGCCGAACGCAGCTATGGTCACACAAGTTCTTGAAATTGACCAGTCCTGCTGGCTGTTGGTCGGCATCGGTGGGGCATATGTGCATTTGTTCATGCATGGGGCTTGCCCGCTGGCTGCATCCATTAGAATCCACCACAGCCGATACATTGAAGCATGCCCTGTTGCGAAATTGCGCAGTCTCTGCTGCGAGCTTACATAGCATGCGAAGGATTAGGCTAGTATGTTCCGATCAGGCACCCTCAAACCTACTGGCCGAACAAAAGCATCGCAGCTGATCGCGCTGGCGACTGGGAGTCGGTTTCCTTCCCGTGCGAGGTACACATAGCAGCAGGAGTGCATGTAAAGATTTTCGAAGGGTTGATGGGCCAAAACATGTCGTTGTTGATAATCTGTTCGCTGCCCCTGCAACGCGGATTTCAGTGCGTTTCGGACTTTTCAGAGGAGTGTGATCATGAGTAAATCAAACCCATATATGGTGGAATACCGAAAGAGGCGCTTCAATACAAGGAGACAATCTTGCACATGTTCTTCAGCACTGGGCCAGATTTCGAAGTTAAACGGGTTTTAGCTGCGTGTTTGCCGCAAGGGGACTGGAGGAACGCAACGGGTGCAGAGTGTTTGGTACCAGAGGGCCGTGACCGCGACGCTGATGCCGACATCGTTGCGACGATCATTGAGCAGGGCCTATCGCATGTGTTGGATGTCTATAAGCCGACAGTATGACCGCGACATCGTTGGGCAGGTTGCGAGCTTGCGATTGACTTGGAGGGGGGTCTCGAGGCGATTCACGGATTGGCGAGTGCAACGTGCCCTGTATGTATGAAAGTTCTTGCGCGCGGTGGGCGCAATAGCATTGATGACATACGCGATAGTATACACATAGATAGCACGGGAGGTGGCAACCACGATGGGGGTCACCGGTCCGACTCGGCACACCCGACACGCTTGGTCGACCCTTGTGACATCGGGGGGTACACAACTAGAGAAAGATTGCGATGCCCAGTCGGGACGCGCAAAGGCAAGCGCAAAAGTTCGTGAGAAGTCAGTTGGATGTGTTTGCTCAGGGAACATGCTTGGTGATCTGATGCTAATGCGCCTGGTGCTGGCGCTCATTGCGAGAATGGCGCGCGCCCAGCTCGAAGTAGGAAGTCGCGGCTGGGAGATGGCTCAACGAAGCCATGTTGCAATGGACCATATGAGCGGCCAGGATGCATGCGTTTGTGACCCTAGGGTGCGTCGCGTAGTCATTGCAGCAGATCTCACCCTGGAACGTGATTTTTATATCAGAACCTGGTGGCCATTTGGAATCATGAAAGCATTTGGCGTGCGTTCCCAAGGAACTGTTGCACTGTTCAGTTCAATGCGTTGGCGTTTCGTGCGCGTTCTATGTTGGGGTCGTTGGTGCGCCGACCCCATGGGCGCCCGCGTCGTTCCTTCAAGTATCAGTTGTTTCAAGCTTCTCGGGGGCCCCGCCGTAGCAGACATTTTATCGCGCGCGCCTGAGCCATAACATGATGAACCATCATCCTGATTTGACAGGGTCGGAGTTTCAAAACAGTTTGCTCTTGCTCGCGATGGCAACCCGCCTCGGCATTTCCACGGCCGATGCAAAGCATGCGAGCATAAGGCGCAACATTGAGGCTATATCGGTTCAAACTCATACTATGGGGGTGGGCGATGTCTCGGCCGAGTAGGTGTTTCAACCACAGCGCGCGCTTGAACGGGCGCGGGTGGCAACTCCTGGCAATATCACTGCTGGGAAGCGCTCGCGCATATCATCGAGGGGGGGGGATTGTTGTGGGTCGTTATGCATCGTGCTAACGTGATGTGCAAAGCGTATGTTGGTGGGTGACACGAGCGCGCCCG